GGTTATTTGCTCAGCATACAGGTTGAATAAGCATGGTGAAAGAATACAACTCTGTCGCACACCTTTCTTAATTTTAAACCATCCAGTGTTCCCATGTTGTGTTTGAACAACTGCCACTTGGTCCATGTACAGATTCCTAACGAGCACAATGAAGTGTTCTGGAATACTCATACTTGGACAATGATCCTGGGAGTTTGGAGCACTAATATTTAAGAGAGGGGAGGGGTCCTCAGAAAGACAAGAAAAGTCAATGTCACATAGCTAAGGAAAAATTGTCTTTCAAGAAGATGTGGCTAATCTCACTTTTGAGGGGGCTTCAAAAAGTTTGTGGAAAAATGGAATTAAAAGATAATGGCATTCTTCTGTGAACTCTCTGAAGCCCCTTTGTATGCATTTTGTGAAGAGTAAGTGAGACAGTGCATACAGATCAGTTATATTATAAATATCCTTATCCATGGACATAGGTATCCCATAGCAGACATAGCTCCTGGTTAAGATCATTGATATCTATAAATCAGTATTCTGTGTGTGATTAGAGAAAACTATTTCCTTAGGGTAGGATTGTCCCTAGGTAACTGGCACAATCAATTTTAGAAACTGCAATGTCGATAAGAGGACTTGTAGAGTAGTGTCCCACAGCAAGAAAGGAGTCACAGTGGCACAGTGGTTAAAGCATTCAACTTTGAACCAAAAGGTCAGCAGTTTGAACCCACCAGTCACGCCACAGAAGAAAGATGTGGCAATCTGTTTCCATAAAGATTTACAGCCTTGGAAGCCTTTTGGGGCAGTTCTACTCTCAGGGTCATTATGACTGGTAACCAACTTGAAGGCAGTGGGGTGGGTCCCTCAATATCCACTGTGAGAACCAAAATCAAGTATTCACCCAGGCTACAGTGGCGTTTCATTACTGTCTTATGCATTTACCAATCTCTATTCTTCTGTATCAGAAGTTAAGTCAAACTGAAGGCCACCACCTGCATTTAAAAGACCCACAAAATGGTGTTTGCATTTTTAAATGACTGGTGGGGAAAAAAGTCAACCAAAAATACTGTGATATGTGAAAATGACATGAAACTCAGATTTCAGTGGTCATAGTTAGTTACTGGAACACAGGCATGCTTATTCACGTATTGTTTCCAGCTGCTTGTATGCAACATCAGAGCTGAGCAATTGTGACAGAGATTAGAGAGCCTGCAAAGTCTAAAATAAAATTTATTATTTGAGCCATTACAGAAGAAGTTTGCTGTCCTCTATTCCAGATCATGGAGTGCTGATTTGGCACTGCAGAATAAGCACTGGACTGCTAACCATAGGGTCAGCAATTCAAAGCCACCAGCCACTCCACTGGGTTGCTAAGAGTGGGAACCAACTCGACAACATGTAACAACAACATTCTGGATTATAAAGTCTTTGAAGGAAAAAAAGACGATGAGGTGGGAAAGTATGAAAATAATATTTAACTCTTATAGAAGTCAAGTAAAATAATGACTGAAAGTGATCATTTGCTTTAGATAATAAGATCTTAACAGCGATCGAGGCAAAAGTCCTTTTGGTGGGATTTGTTTTCGTCATTAATGCACTACACCCAAGTTATACTATTCTACAGGCTTAAGTGAATTCTGTACCTTACCTGTTTTAACTTCAGTTTTACATCATCAAGGCCACCAATCTGATCCCAGCCAACAGGCTTGATATCCATCAGTCCAATGACACTCCGAAATGATGAGGGTTGAATCTTTTTAAAAGCTTCAAGGAAATCTGTTTCATCAATCATCGAGTTGTTCTGATTCTAAAAAAATATTTGTAAACAAAAAGGCAAAATCAGACCAAAAAGTAGTATAAAAGTACAATTACTCTTTTTTTTTCCCTAAATCCTCTTTTGAATGTGCAAGTCTATGTTATCATTATAAATAAAACTCTACACACAGTGTGGAAATTTAGTCTCCCTCCCTATTCTCACCAGTCTCCACCCCCACGGGATGTCAACAGTTTGCTGTGTATTCTTCTAGTATGTTTTATGACATAGCCAATAGGTACTCAAATGGAGCCATACTGTACATACTAATCTGTACTTTTCTTTTTCCACTTATCTTAGAAAGTTTTTCATGGCAATTCATATAGTTCTCTATCACACTCTTTTTTGACAGTCATATTAAATCCTACTGTATGAGTGTACCATCTTTTAACTCAACTCTTTAATGAAATCTTTTGTTATTAAAACCAAAGCGTCAACAGTAAGTCCTTGTTCACATGTTCAAGTATTTTAATTAATAATTTCTTATAAGTAGAATTATTGGGCGTAAGTGTATGCACATTTACAATTTTGACAGCTATTACCAAATGGTCCTCAAAGGAAGCTATACTAATTTGTTCTCCTCCAACAATGATATGAAGTTGCTGTTCTCCCCATACATCAACAACAGTAGATATTACCAAATTTTTTAATTTCTGCCATTCTGCCAGAAAATGGTACTACTGCCTTTTGCAATCATCATCCATAGTAAAAGCTGCTTTGGGCAAGAATTACCAACGGATGCTTCTGGTGTGACACCCTGAGGAGGACACAGTATCACTTTTGTAGTTCTCCTACTGGGGATGCATAGCCTGAATCTGATCAGGAGGAAACATCAGACAAATCCAAGCTGATGGATAGGCTATAACTGATATGCAGCCATAAAACATGTCAGTGTCAAATGTATCAAACTTTTTTTTACATAAGGAAGTGTTGTAGATTAAAAGAAAGCATGACAACTAAATGCAATACATTATCCTGGACTAGATGCTATGTTAGAGATCAAAAATATGAAAAAGGAGATTACTGTGATAATTATCAAAATCAGAATGTGGACTGCAGATTAAAGGGTTTAACAAGTATTCTCTAAACTGCCTTGCAACTTTTCCTAAGTTTTAAATTACTTCAAAATAAAAACGATAATTATTTTTAAAGGAATGTAGAGGATTTTTCGTATTTACTGGCCACTTGCATTCCTTTATTGTCACATTGTTCAGATCTTGTTCCTCATTTTGTATAAGGTTGCTAGTTTTTCTCTTTTGATTTGTGAGAGTTGTAAGTATATCAGGGAAACTGGCCTTTTGTCATGAGCTAGAAAGAAGTATTTTCTCTGATGTCTTAGCTTTGCTTAGAATATTCTTTTGCCATACCCATATGGTCAAATTAGCAAATCATTTCCTTTTTGGCTTTTAGGTTTTATGTTACACTTAGACTTTTCTCCCTTTAAGATTACATTTATGAAGAACTGTTTTTTCAATTTCCTTGGCTGCTTTGTTGAAGTAAAAATTTTGTTACTTAAAAATTCCTTAGATTTCTGTAACATCTGTATTACATTTGCTGAAGGATTTGCTCTCTTGCAACAAATTCTAAACATTTTATCAGCATTGTTACGTGCCGTGGAGTCAGTTCCACCTCAAAGTGACCCCTACAGGCACACCTTTTTTTATTGCACTTTGTTTTACTGTGTTTCACAGATATTGCAATTTTTACAAATTGAAAGTCTATGGCAACCCTACATCAAGCAAGTCTACCTACAACATTTTTCCAACAGCATGTGCTTGTGTCTGTGTCATGGTTTGATAATTTTTGCAGTATTTCAGTTCCAAGTATGCAATAGAATTATGAAAAAAAAATCTTTTTTCATAATTCTATTGCATACTTAGTAAACTACAGTGTAGTGTACACATAACTTTCATATACACTGGGAAACCAAAGATTCATATGACTCAATTTATTGCATTATTCACTTTACTGCAATAGTATATAACTGAACCCACAACAATTCTGAACTATGTGCCATAATTCTGAGGTAAGCATGAATGCATGTATATAACAAATGCCACAATAATTCTGAGGTATGAGTGTTCAGTTATGAAACACTATCATAATAAACACTAATGTGAAGATCTGGCGCCATCTTCACAAACACTGCTATGTTGGAGGACACTGTTGTGGTCACTGTGTCAGTCTATCTCACTGAGGGTCTTCCTGTTTTTTGCTGACCTTCTACTTTATCAAGCATGATGTCCTTGGCCAGGGACTGGGCCCTCCTGGTAACATGTCCAAAATACATAAGACGAAGTCTCGCCATCCTTGCCTCCAAGGAGCTCCCTGGCCATACCTCTTCCAAGACAAACCTGTTCTTTTTTTCTGGCCCAACTCACTGCCATCGAGTTGATTCCAACTCACAATGATCCTACGTAGGGTTTCCAAGAATTGTAAATCTTTATGGAAGCAGACAGCTTCATGTTTCTCCAGTAAAGCAACTGGTGGGTCTGAACCACCAATGTTGGTTTGGGTTCAAACTCAGCACCTAACCCACAGAGTCACCAGGGTTCTTTGTTCTTCTGGAAGTCTATGGTATATTCAATATTCTTTCCCAACACCATAATTCAAATATTTCTTTACTGTCCAATTTTCTCATGCATGTGAGAAAACTGTAAATACCTTTGTCCTCAAAGTGACATCTTTGCTTTATAACACCTTAAAAAGCTCTTTTGCAGCACATCTACCAAATGCAATCTGTTGTTTGATTTTTTGACTGCTGTCTTCATGGGCAATAATTGTGGATCGAAGCAAAATGAAATCCCCAACAACTTCATCTTTTTTCTATTTATCATGATGCTGTCTATTGGTCCAGCTGTAAAAATTCTTGTTTTCTTTATGGTAAGGTGTAATCTATACTGAAAGCTGCAGTCTTTGATGTTCATCAGTAAATACTTCAAGCCCTCATTGCTTTCAGCAAAGCAAGGCTGAGTTACCTGCAAATTACAGGTTTTAATGAGTCTTTCTCTAATCCTGATGCTGTGTTTTTCTTCTTATAGTACAACTTCTTGTATTATTTGCTCAGTATATAGATTTAATGTTGTTGGATGCCATCAAATTAATTCCAACTCATAGTGACAAACACCTCATAGTGACAACTCAAAGTGACAAACACCTCATAGTGACAAACACCTCATAGTGACAACTCATAGTGATAAACACCTCATAGTGCAACACACCAAAATCTGCTCAGTCCTATACCATCTTCAGAATTATGTTTAAGCCCATTGTTGCAGCCACTGTGTCAATCCATCTTACTGAGGGTTTTCCTCTTTCTCATTGACCCTCTACTTTACCAAGAGTAACTGAATAAAAAAGGATACAACCCCGACACACACTTTTTCTGATTTTAAACCATGTGGTATTTCCTTGTTCTGTTCCAGACTGCCTCTTGGTCTATGTACAAGTTCCACATAAGCAGCTAGTTTTCTGTAATTCCCATTCTTTGTAATGTTATCCATAATTTGCTATGACCCATACAGCTGAATGCCTTTGTAAAGTCAATAAAATATACATAAACATCTTTCTAGTAGTCTCTGCTTTCAACCAAGATCCACCTGACATCAATATGGTATCTCTCATTCCATATCCCCTTCTGAATCCTGTATGAATCTCTGATAATACTGCCGCAAACCATTTTTAAATTAGCTTCAGCAAAATTTTATTTGTGGGTATCAATATTGTCTAATAATTTCTGCATTTTGTTGAATCACCTTACTTTGGAATGAGCACATATATGGTTCTCTTCAGGTAGCCAAACAGCTGTCTTCCAAATTTCTTGGCATAGATGAGTGAATATTTTAAGTATTGCATCTACTTGTTGGTTGGTATACCATTCACTCCTGCAGGCTATTGCCAATGCCTTCAGTATAACGTGGCCATCTTCCTTTAATACATTAGCTCCTGATCATGTGTTATCCATTCTTTTTGGCATGGTAACTCTGTATATTCCTTTCATCTTTTGGTGCTTCCTGCATTGTTCAATGCTTTGCCCATAGAATCCTTCAATATTGCAACTCAAGGCTTGAATTTTTTTCTTCAGTTTAAGAAATGTTAAGCACGTTCTTTTGGTTTTCTAACTCCAGGTCTTTGCATATTTCATTATAATACTTTGCTTTGTCTTTTCCAGTTTCCCTTTGAAATTTTCTGTTCAGTTCTTGTACTTTAATATTTCTTCCAGTCATGTTAACTACTTTCCCTTCAAGAGCAAGTTTGTTTCTTCTGACATCCAGTTTAGCCTTTTTAATGAACTTTTGCTTTCCTCATGTCTTTCATGGATGATGTCACCCACAATTCATCTGATTTTCGGTCATTAGTATTTAATGCTTTAAATCTATACTTCAGATGGTCTCTAAATTCAAGTGGGATATACTCAAGGTCATACTTGGCTCTTATGGTCATATTTTCATTTTCTTCAGCTTCTACTTGAAGTTGAATATGAGCAACTGATGGGTCTGGTCTGCATTTGGCCCCTAGCAATACCAAGTGATACTGAGAGCTTCTACATTATCTCTTTCCACAGATGTAGATTTTATTTCTGTGTATTCCATCTGGTGAGATCCAAGTATATAAATGCCATTTATGTTGTTGGAAAAAGGTATAAGTCACTGGTCTTGCAAAATCTATCATGTGATCTCTGGAGTAGTTTATATAATCAAAGCAGTATTTTCCATCTACAGAGCCTTCTTTGTTTCCAAATTCCACATTGCAATTACTAGTAATTATCAATTCATCTTGACTGCAGGTTTCATCAATTTCAGGCTACAGAGCTGGTAAAAATCTTGCATTTTTTTTATCTTTGGCACTACTGGTTGGAACATAAATTTGTATTAACCGGTCTTTCCTGTAAGCATGTGGACATTACCCTATCACTGACAGCATTATACTTCAGGAGAGAGCTTGAAATGTTCTTTTTCATGATATATGCAAAGCCATTCCTCTTCAACTTGTCACTTCTGTCATAGAAGTCCAATTAAAAATGTCCAATACCATTCCAATTCAGTTCACTAATGCTGAGGATATTGATCTGCATATAGTCCATTTCATTTTTGATGACTTCTAATTTCCCTAGATTCATACTTTTTCCCTAAATTCCACATTCTAATTGTTAATGGATATTTGCAGCTACTTCTCCTCCCTTTTAGCTGTGTCACTGCAGTAGATGAAGAAGGTCCTGAAAGCTTCACTCCATCCATGTCATTTGTTGGTGTGCCCTCAAGTTGGCTCTGACTCACAGCACCTCTGTGGAGGGTTTCTGACAGCAGCTGGTGGGTTTGATTTTCCAGTCTTAAGAGTCTAGCACTTATCCTACAGCCACACCAGGGCATTTAATTTTCTAGAAATTCCCATTTCCAAAAAGAACAGATTTCATCCCATTTATATAAGTCCTGGTGTGGTGCTGTGGGTTAATGCGCTATGGGTTAATGCAAAGCCACTTTAACTGCAAGGTTGGTGGTTTAAGTTCACTAGCTGCTCCTTGGAAACCGTATACAGGGTCACTATGGGTTGTAACCAACTCAACAGCATTTAACAGCAGCAGCATACTATATAAGTGAATATATGAGGGGGCTTCAAAAATTAATGAAAAAATTCCATTATCTTTTAATGCCATTCGCCATGTACTTTTTGAAACCCCTCCTAGATGTACAGAACTATTATGACCACCATGAAAAAAAAGTTAATAATTGTAATCTCCAGGTGGTAACATTTTAGCAATTTCTACTTTTTCTATACTTTGTCTTGTTTAGTTTCTGTTTCTCTTTCACATGCAACACTAGTATAATAACAGTAATTTTTTAAATGGCTTTTGTTCAATTGACTGGCAATATTAGATCTTGGTTACCTAAATATTAATGAATCTCTAAGTAACACCACCTGCTGTTGTTGTCAAGGTCCGTGAAGTCGGCTCTTACTCAGAGTAACCCTATATATGGTTTCCTAGTGGGAGCAGAAAGCCTCTTCTTTCTCCCACAGAGTGGCTGGTGGGCTCAAAACCCTGACCTTGTACTTACCCCACAGAGCCACTGTGCTCCCCAGCACAAACTAGTATGTAGAATCTCTTCTGCAAGTCAGGATTATTGCATTTGATTCTCCTAATTATTCATTCAAGCAGGTAAAATTCTTTCCTCTCTGTGAATTAATGTGGGTGTAATTAAACTGTATTTTGAAGCCTTTAAAAAGATGGAGCCAATACCTTCCCAGAAGCCTCTGTCCCTTCTTCCTGTTTGCCTTTCTTCCTTCCACTTCCCTTGGGTTGTTTCTGAGCTCAGCCATTGCCAGTGGGTACTACTCTTGGGTAGGCCCCTTCGGAAGTGGCAGTGGGCTCCACCCTAGGACGGCAGCAGCTGATTGGTTCTCCTCTCCCTAAGCCAGAAGTGCTCAAGGGTCAAACCTGGAACTTCAAAGCAGAGGGAATCCTAAATGCAAATCTCCTTTCTCAACTCCTGTACTCTCTTCTTCCCCCCTCCCAAAAAAACAGTACAGGCTCACCCTTTTTATGTAGGATGGTTAAAACTTCAAGCAGTTTTGGTTCTGAACACAGATGATGAATAGCTCACATAACTCCTCACCTTCAGTGTAAGAATAAAAGTTTTAAAAAACAAACAAGAGAAAGAATGTGAAACTAAATTTAGGTAAGAAGGTTTTCAAAATTTAGGATGAATAACTTATCCTTTTCTAATTTAAGTAAATACAAGATTGGGGCTTTTTTAAGTTATAGGGTTAAAGGGCAATCTTAATATTATAATAGAGATTTTAAACTTTGCCACAGATTTCTCTTCCTCATAAAATTATCTATTTCCTAAAGGAGTTTATGGATTTAAGATAATGAATTGCATACAAAATGACCTGATTTGGAATTTATAATAGTTGAAAATATAAATCATTGAATATTACAAATATCCAAATAGTTTTAAGACACACTGAAGAAAGCTAATGCCATAAATATTTTTAAGACAGTCATGAATTAAAGACATGAATGTCAAGAGAGAAACAATTTTAAATAAAATTCCAGATATGCCATCTTCTCCAGGGTTAGAAAAGTTTTTGCCTCCCCTTCCCCCAAGATACTTAAAAATAACACAGGTTTTAAAATAGTATCTTAACAATGGAGACATCTCACAGATAGCACTGTATCCAAGTGGTCAAAGCTAATTTCTGCAGTAATAAGACAAACCACTATCATGTGCTATCTTAATAGATGTAGTGAGAAAAACATGGTCAGTTTTGTAATACTCTTACAGAAAAGGCAACACCTGAATCAAATCATGAGCAATCATCAGCCGTACCCAAACTGAAACACATATTCTACAAAATAATTGACCCTCTAAAAAAAAGTTAAGGTAAAAGAAAGAGTGGAGAATGGGTCCAGATTAAAAGAAAGAAATCATGTCAACGAAATGTAACATGTAATTCTGGCCACGAAAAAAATTATTTTTCTGTTTCTTTTTTTAAATTTTGCTACAAATAAAAGTAATGGGGCAAATGGTGTAATTAGGATAAGGTCTAGGTCGATTAAGTAAACATATCAGTGTTAATCCCTTCCTTTTTATCATTGTACTATAGTTGTGTAAAAGAAAGTCCTTGGTTTTTAGGAAATACAAATTTACATTTTCAAGAGGAAAGAGGCATCATGGCTGTAGTATATTTGAAAATATTTCAGAAAGATATACACATATGAATACATATAAAGTGAGAGAATAACAAAGTAAATGTAGCAAAATGGAAAATCTGTAGTATTTGGAAAATCTGGATGAAGATTCTCATCCAGATGCAGAAATTCTTTGTTCTATATTGGCAACTTCTCTCAAAGTCTAATTGTTTCAAAAATTTAAAAATTGTTGTTAGGTGCCTTTAAGTCAGTTCCAACCCACAGGGAACCATGTACACTAGAAGGACACACTGCCCGGTCCTCCTACGCTATCCTCAGAACCGCTACACTGGAGCCCATTGCTGTTCCCACTGTGCCCATCTGTCCCACTGGGGCTCTCCCTCTTCTTCACTGACTGCTCACTTTATCAAACATGATGCCCTTCTCCAGGGACTGATCCCCTCTGATAATATGCCAAAAGTATGAGAGACAAAGTCTGGTCATCTTGGCTTCAATATATTTGATTTGATTCTTCTTAGAGCCTCTCTTGGCTGCTCTGGGAACAGGTGGCTTCAACACTAGCGTGTTACAAAAGGAGCAGGGAAAATAACCACAGGGTAGACTTGGAGGACTCAGCTCTTTCTTCCCCCGATTCAATCATATATCATTTACATAGCGTTGAGATGTAAAAGTGTATGTAAGTAACAACCAGGAAGGTTATCAAAAATTCCAAGAGAATATACTTATCACTTTTTTAATCCCAAAACTACTGTGTAAATTACTAAAATATTTACAGGTAAAGCAGTAGCCAAGATGTCCGTTCTGGTCTAACTCCTGGTAACTAACATGAATAGGTAGTCATAAAGCAATCCTTCTTACCTTGTCACTGCAAAGCATAGCATGCAGGGCAGCCTCTCTACAGAGTGCTGTCAAGTCTGCACCAACGTAGCCAACTGTCATTTCCGCAAGGAGGCCCAAATCAACACGACTGGAGAGAGGCATCTTTGAGGTAAGCACTTGCAGAATTGACTTTCTTTGTTTAAGTGTGGGAGTCCCAATGACAACCTATTTGCAAAGCAAAAGAAAAAAAAGTGTGAAATTAAAATGTTATTTTCAAAGGTACATATTTTTGATCACACAAATATGTGCAAATTTCTGATAAACCCTTTTGGAATGGGTACTATGCACTCTGAAGCATATTCTAGATTCACCCTAATTTTCCAGAGGACTCCGGTGTGGTGCTGGAGGATCAGTAGTGGGCTGCAAACCACAAGGTCGGCAGTTCAAACCCACCAGCTGATCCTCAGAAATCCTATACAGGGTCTCTATGAGTCGAAACCAACTAGACAGCACCCAACAACAATTACTGACCAAAAAGCTATACATAAGAAAACTTACATTTCTGTCACTTCCAACAACCTACCACATTCTTAGAGACACAGATGGAGTTGTAACAGTAAATCTGACCGTCTGGATCCCTACCCAAATGGAATTTATTCAGCAGATAGGTATCAAATGGTATAAGAAATTCATCAAGTCCTTGGCAGATGATCAATTATCATTAGTTTTAGAATTCTACCATAAAGTTCAAACATCACTTCAATTAAGCACTGAATTTCAAACTATTTAACAAAAATCAAGACTCAATTAAGACCAAAGCTTATTTGGAAAAAAAAAAAAAAAAGGTCAGCTTTACATATAGAACCTTGGCGATTCCAGATACGCAACTGCGGGGTGTGGTTTTGTTTTGTTTTGTTTTGAGTTATGGACCGGGATGCTGGCATTCTGACAAGGAAAAGTATTGTCTGCTTCAGCTTCTTCATTGTGCTCTTATTTCTTGAGGCCATCCTTATACTTAAAGGAGCCCTGGGTTGCTAACTGCAATGTCCATGGTTTAAGCCCACTGGCGGATCCAGGATAGAAAGATGAGGCTGTCGGCTTGTGCAAAGATTTAGTCTCGATAAGTTAGATTCTAACTGTAAGTTAGAATCCACTCGATGGTATTGGGTTTCCTATTTGGTTATCCTTCTACTTTAAATTCCCATTCCAACTTCATATGGGTTCAATGTGCTTGTAGCAGACCTGTTGAATTAAACTAATCCTAATGTACTACCAGTTATTCCGCGGGAGAAAGATGAGGCTTTCTGCTCCCGTAAAGATTTACAGCCTCGGAAACCCTGTACAGGGTCGTTATGAGTGCGACTCCACGGCACATAACAACAACAACAACAATGTACTGGTATAAGGAGCTCTGGTAGCGTAGAGATTACGAATCGGGCTGTGAACTGCAAGGTGAGCAGTTCGAAACTGCCAGCTGTCCCACGGGAGCAAGATGAGGCTCTGTAAAGATTTACAGCCCCGGAAACCCTGTACACCGCACACAGCCACCAACGTCCTTGTGTGGGTTAATGCGCCAGATTGCAAAGCCGTTTGAACTGCAAGGTTGGCGGTTCAAGCTCACCAGCTGCTCCTCGGACACCCTTTCCAGGGTCGCTGTGGGTCGGAGCCGACTCGATGGCACTTAACAACAACAATGCCTGGTGTGTGGCGCTGTGAGTTAATGCGCCAGACTACAAAGCCGTTTGAACAGCAAGGTTGGCGGTTCATGTTCACCAGCTGCTCCTAGGAAGCCCTATACAGGGTTGCTATGGGTCATAAATGACTCGACGACACTTAACAACAACAATAGACAATTTGAGTCTAAAGGGGAAAAGGTCCTAAGCTAGAGAACGCATTCTCTATATTACAAAGAGCCGCACTCTGCCCTTACCAATTCCCAAACTTAAGTGGAAATGGCTCGGGGCAGCCAACCACGGTTCCACGGACATTGGACTCATGGGTCAGTCTTAGTCACCTCTCTGTCGAATCTCCCGGGTCTCCTTAGCGCTGGGTCTAAAGCATCCGGCCGATTAGTGGCTCCCACAACCACCACCTCGCGGTCCCCACTGATGCCATCTAGCAGCGTCAACACCTGAGCCACCACACGACTCTCGGGGGCTCCGTGTGGACCGCCCCTCCGGGGACACAGTGCATCCACCTCATCCAGGAAGAGAAGGCTGGGGCCGCGGCTGGCCAGCTCCTGGGCTCGCTGGAAGACCCGCCGCACGTTCTCCTCGGTCTCCCCCGGCCGAGAGCCCTGCAGCGCGGGGGCGCTCACGGCCAGCAGCTCCGCGCCCACCTCTCGGGCCACAGCGCGCACCAGCTGGGTTTTACCCACCCCGGGGGGGCCCGCCAGGAGCACTCCGCGGGGCACGGCTAGTCCCAGCGCGGCAAGGGCGCAAGGATAACGGAGGGGAAGGTAAAGGAGTTCCCGCAGCGAGTCGGCCGCTTCCGACAGCCCGCCCAGGGGCACCTCGGGCCGCGGCTCCGCTTCCAAAGGGGAAGTCCCGCTGAGGACGATGCGGGTGTGAGGGGTGACCAACCCAGCCGAATCGGGACTGGGTGTTCCGCTGACTATGTGCAGGGCGGCCACGGGCCCCGGGGCACCTGGTGGAGCAGCAACCACGTGGCCCAGAGAGACTGGTCTGTTCCGCAGCAGCTCTTGCGCCGCCTCCAACACGGCGTCTGGGCCCAGGATCGCGGGCGCTCCCACCCGCTCCCGCAACACTGGCCACACGGTGAGGCGCCGCAAAGGCGAGCAAGGCACCAGGCTCAAGCAATTCAGGCTCAGGGTCCCCCTCGACCCCGCCAACCCCACCGCAGCCCCGGGGCTCGCGCACTGCGGGTCCAGCTGCACAAAGCCATCAGCTCCGTCCCGCCGCGGCCAGGCGGTGCAGAGGCAGGAGCCGCCGTCTGGCAGCGAGATCTTCAGGGCCGAGCCCAAGTGTGCGCCCAAGGCGCGGAAGGCGGCTGGGCCTAGGCGGCAGCGCTGGGTACCCCGATCTCTAGAGTCTAAGGGTAGCAGCTGTAAGAGCGGTCCTTCAGAGAAGAGACCCGAGTCCCCAGCCATTGCACACTGAGGACCGGAGACCGAGGGAAGTGGGACTAGAATTCCACACGGGCCTGAAAGGCCTGCACACCGCGCTTCGGCCGGAAACAGATTACGCGCATGCGTTAGTGGAGGCTCTGGGTTGCTTACAGCTGAGTGGAGGCCGAAAGGGCCAAACACAAAATTAAGCTCCAGCCATTGGATCTAGTTTGTTGTGGAAGTGTCCGCTTGGATGAAGCCACGCTGCCCATCCCGAGTTCTACGGATATCGTCTTCGGTGCATATTTCTGGGAGGTAGTTTCAGCATGTCATTAAGCATGTACCTTAGTGGCTCAAGAAGTCACCGACATTGCACCCTCCCTGACTCAAGGACTGGAGCAACACACGCATTGCCACTTTTGGAAGATCAGCCTAGAGATTTTGCTATTTTGAAAAGAACGTTAACTATCCTCGTGGCTAGGTGCTACTGTCAATCATACATGACGTATGATAGCTGAGAAAACAGCCTTGGCACTTTAAATAACCAAGGTCCCAACCTGTTTGAAAGGTCCACACATGGCCTTAGTATAGAAAAGCACAAGCATTGCAAGAAAGTACAGGGTGGCATGTTAAATGCCTCTGTGAGAAGAAGGAAAACCAGGCCGTCCGTTGTATTTCTGGTATACTAATACATTTTATTCTGACCTCCGATTCATTTCTATGAATGTATTTTAACAACCACTGAAGGATTCCTAATCAACTTCGCTGTTAGTACTTCGCTGTCTGTTTGGGACACAGCAGTGCTAAGTCCTGCATTGGAAGCAATACTTTTCTACATTATTAAGAACACTTCTTGCTATTCTCTTTCTACTTGCTTTCCACCTTTCTTCTACACAGGGAATCACTCTTTGCTATCATCATCAACTGGAATACTTTTCCTATCCTTCTTAACTTTGTTCATCAAAAAGAACTGCAGATATTCAAAGTCACGAAAATAAGCTTTGTTTTTATTCTTCTCACATTTTCCCTACCTTTACTGCAACCCAAATCCATGAGATGACAAAATTGAAGTTGCAAATAGTGCTTAGGTCTCTGCGTTTTGGTTTGTTTTTCTGCCGTCTATGCAAGCAAACAGTTACAGACTGTACAAGTATAGTAGTATCTTCTCAATGGATAATGCTGTTGGATCAAGATCGATGCCAGCTCCTGGTCTCATTCTATCCAAATTTCAGGGTAAATACTCACAGACTTCTTGATTCCACAGTAACATATCTAGTCTCTGCTATACCTTTCTAGTTCCACTCTGGAACAACTTGAAAAGGAATCAGAAAGTAGCAGCAACAGCTGGAGATCCTGAAGTGAACAGGTTGCCTGTTGTTGTTAAGTGTCATCCAGTCATTCTGGCCCATAGCTACCCTGTACAGGGCTTCCAAGGAGCAGTTGATGGGTTGGAACTTTGAAATGCCAACCTCATTGTTAGCAGTCCAGTGCTTATCCTACAGTACAACACCAGGACTCCAGGTAGCCCATTAGTTCCTATTTTCTCTCTCTCTCTGCTTACTTGCACTGGTTTTTGTTCTCTTAGGTCTTAAAGACTTTTCATAAACAATTTTACATTTTTTGAATATTAAAAAAATATTATTGACTCTTGAAGTTGTAAATGAAATGCCCACCAAATTATTCTATTATGATGCCTGTACTTCTGCATCTGTAGATTACCTTGAATTTCAGGTCCCAGAAAACTTTGAGGATCTAGAAGAAGAAAGTAAGACAAGATAACTGTCTGATAAGTAAAAGGCTGTCCTGTAAAAGAACTGGTAGATGTCTATAAAGGTTGAACACTAGAGGGAGTCCAGAACCAAATAAACCTAAAGAGTGCTGGATTGTTTTCAGTTTGACATGTTCCTTCCAACTGTGACTTCCACTAGATTTCCCCAAATTTCACCCCCAGACTATATGTAACAGTCTTGTTGTCTCTACACATTATAACATAATTTCTACGTGCATCAGGCCATATAGAACTCAATTTCCAAGTACAAATTTTATTACTGTTGTTGTAAGTGCCATCGAGTTGGTTCCAACTCATAGTGACACTGTATAGGGTTTCCAGTGGTGAGTTTGAACCACCGACCTTGCAGTCCAGCTCATTAACCCATAGCACCACACCAAAATGCTATATCAAATATCAAAATGAGACTTTCCCCAAATCTAAACTTTAGTAGTGGAGCAAGACCCAAATACTCTGAATTTATTTTGTGATAGCCTACAAACAATTTTGGAGTCCTGGTGTGGCACTGTGAGTTAATACGTCAGACTGCAAAGCCATTTGAACTACAAGGTTGGTGGTTCAAGCTCACCGGTTGCTCCTTGGAAACCCTATACAGGGTCGCTATGGGTCAGAACCAACTTGACAGCACTTAACAATAACAACAACAAACAATTTTAGCTTTAAACTGAAATATCCCTCCCAAACATACCACTTTCTTTTGTGAGATTTTCCTGAAGTGATGTATTTAACAAATAATTTTCTTAATTTCACTTGCCACATTCAAGGTTATAACCTGAATGTCTATTGTTGTTGTTGTTGGTGCCGTCAAGTCGATTCTGACCCAAAGCGATCCTGTATAGGAGCAGCTTGAACCACTGACCTTGCAGTTCAAATGACTTTGCAGTCTGACTCATTAGCCCACAGCGCCACACCAGGACTCCATTGTTGTTGTTAAGTGCTGTCAAGTCGGTTCTGACTCATAGGGAATCTGTATAGGGTTTCCAAGGAGTGGCTGACGAGTTTGAACCACCGACCTTGTGGCTCAAACCAACCTTGCAGTCCAGAGCTTTATCCTGCAGTGCCACACCAGGACTCCTGGATGTCTACAAAGTATTTAATATTCTTTACCAACACCCTAGTTGAAAGGCATAATTTCTGGGGTCTTCCTTATTTACTGTTTACTATTCACATGTATATGAGGCTATTGAAAATACCATGGCTTGGGTCAGATGCATCGTAGTCCTCAAAGTGACATCTTTGCATTCTAACACTTTAAGGAGGTCTTTTGCAGCAGATTTGCCCAATGCAATGTATCATTTGATTCTTCACTACTGTTTCCATGGGCATTGTTTGTTGACCCAAGTAAAATGGAATCCTTAACAGCTTTAGTCTTTTCTCTATTTAGGATAATGTTGTTTACTGGTCAAATCATGAGGATTTTTGTTTTATTTGCATTGAGATATAATTCATACTTTGATCTTCATCAGTAAGTGCTTCAAGTCCTCTTCATTTTCAGCAAGCAAGGTTGCATCATCTGCATATCACATTCTCAAGATAGACATTCTGAATTCTCTCAAATTGAGCAGTTAGGGAAATTACAGTAATCACATTGTCTTTACACTGAATTTGTCCTTTGAAATAAAGGTCACTGCTTCCCACACACACAAAAAAAAACGTGTGGGTGTGACTATGAATTCCTAGGCATGTTTCAGAATTTTCTACGGGCTACTTCTGTGTTACTCTTTGATTCCCAGATCTTTACGCTCTTCTGACTTGAAGTAAACCCAATTTATTCCAGCCTTAACTGCTTTGGTGCCATAGGCTTGGATTCTTGACAAACATATTCACAGCCAGAATTAATTGATTCTGCCTCTGGTTTTCCTCAACACAAAACTGCACCCTTATCTGCATTTGGCTTCATTCTTCTTTGAATGAGTTCATCATTTTCCCCTTCTGTTTTCCCTCTACTCCCTCCTGATTTTGAGGGTTGAAAATGTGTCTTCAAGTGACATGCTATTATATAATTATTATCACCTACCCTATAAGCTGTGGGTTAATGCACCAGACTGCAAAGCTGTTTGAACTGCAAGGTCAGCAGTTCAAGCTCACCACCTGCTCCTCAGAAACCCTATACAGGGTCACTATGGGTCGGAACTGACTCAAAGACACTTAATAACAACAAACCCTATAAGGGATAAGGAGCTCTGATGACATAGTGCCTTATGCATTGGGTTACTAATTGCAAGGTCAGCAGTTCAAATCTATTAGCAGCTCTATAGGAGAAACATGAGGCTTTCTGCCCCTATAAAGATTAGTTGTTGTTAAGTGCCACCAAGTTGCTTATGACTTGTAGCAACCTTGTGTAGGGTGTCCGTGGAGTGGTTGGTGAGTTTGAACTACCAACCTTGTGGTTCAAGCCAACCTGTGGTCTAGGGCCACAGTCTCAGAAACCCTGCTCAGGGTTGTTATATGTCAGAACTAACTCCACAGCACAGCAGCAGCAGTACCATGTAGGATCAAAACTGGACGGCTAGCTACAAGGTTGGCAGTTCAAACCCACCAGCCACTCTCAGAAACCCTACAGGGTTGTTACGCATCAGAACCAATTCGATGGCACACAACACCAACAGTGGAAGAAAAGACCTGACAAACTCCTACTAACATTATAGCTAAGAATCCCCAAAGAACTGTCCTACTCTGTAGCACGTGGAATCACCATGAATTGGCATCATCTTAACAACAACCAACACCACCTTAGAAGGCTCATGTGAATCAAATGAGATCAGTAATGAAATTTTCTCTTGGAAAGCAGAAAGCTCTATTGGCATATAATGTAAGTCTCTACTAAACAGTGATAGTGCTTACAAGTCGGGCTGCTAACCTAGATGTCAGCAATTAGAAACTACCAGCCATTCTGCGGGAGAAAAATGAGGCTTTCTACTCCCATAAGGATTTACAACCTCAGAAACCCTATGCAGAGTCGCTATGCGTCAGAAGCAACTCCATGACGTACTACCACCACCACCAAGCACAGTTCTAAGTGCTTGACATGAATGATCTCATTCAATCCTCACAATGAGAGTCTGGAACTATTGTATAGATGAGGAAATTGAGGCACAAAAATGCTAAGTAATGCCCTCAGTGTCACACAGTAAGTGGCAGAGGTAGGATTCAGAATTAGGTAGTAAGTCTGAAACAAAGTTCCCATATTACACTGCTGTGAGCAAATTTGGTTTGCAAGCCAGGTCGAATGTTGCTTAATGGTTATATGACC